ATTATCCACCAAGACACGGCTGATTGGAGTCCCATCCATGTGAGCATTGATATAAAGTGGCCTAATGTGTCTGGCCATCTTTTCTTTTGGTTTTTCAAACACAATTTTGTCAGCCATGTCCTCCTTTTCATCATCTTGAGCTGGAACAACGATTACCTCTTCTTCTGTCTGTTCTGGGAACTCACAGACGATTGGTTCCTCCTCATTCTTGGCTTGGAAAACCAAGGGTAATGTCAGCACCAGACATGACAAATTCACTGAGAATTCCCCAAAATGAATAGTGCCATCTTCTTTTGATTCAGATCCACGATTCCCAGACTGTTCTTATGCTTCAAAAGTTGCTTTCAAAACTCCGTCTGGACTCACAATGATAGACGCCACCTTTGGAGAGGCTGAAGATTGGTCATCCTCCTTCTGTAGAGTCTGGGTTACAGCCTCCTTTTTCTCTTTTCTCACCCAGACCATATTCCTTTTGGTAGGTTGGCGTGGTCTGCGAGATGAACTTCCCTCAGCCTCCACTTGCTTCAGCCTCCACTTGCTTCTGGTGTCTTTTTCGCTCTTCATCCCTCTTGCGCTGCAGTCTGCACCTCAAGGTTCTGGGATTTTGGGTTGGAAACTTGGGATGACTAATTTTCTCCCACCGTCTAGAAGGTGACCTGAGTGGTAGTTTGACCATCCTTGGAGATCTAGTACCAATTGAATAACGTCTGGCACCTTCTTGACTGAAGTTCCTGGTCACAGTGATCCTTTCTTGGCCCCCGAGCCTCTGCTGGTCTGACCTAACGCTCTTGCTATGTCTGGATCTCTGCGCCTCAAGAACCCACCTTAAGTCTTCTGCAGCAAGGTTCCTTTGAGCATAAGGCAGACTGCGATTTCTAGCAACACTCCTGAGGTCTGCAACATTCACGCCCACAGACACAGCTGGAAAAGGATCTGCATCCACTCCCATGGTTTCCTTCGCTTTGTCTGGAAATTTCAAGATACCCTTATCAATCTTTTCTTGCAAGATATTACGAAAAATAAGACAATTATTAGTAGAATGCTTCCAAGAATTATGAAATTTGCAATAATCTCTAGTTCCGATTTCAGCCGCTGTCGGGATGTTATGTTTCGGCGGCAGCTTAATCAAACCACTCTTTTTAAGGTGGTCAAATATATCACTAGCTTTTGACACATCAAAAGTATACGGTTTTCCAGCCTCACCAACATAACGTCTCACAGACGTCTCAGGCTGGTGAGTTGGTCTGACAAGGTCTGGACAAACAACAGGCTTGTCTATAACAACCTCAGCCACATCAAGATCAAAATTAGGGTCACTGTAATAGGTTCCATGTGATGCAACTTTCTTTTGAACATCTTCTTTCAGCAGATTTTCATACCGAGCCACTTTATAAGACAATATCAGACAATTCATAGAAGTCTCAGAATTCCATCCCCTCAAATTTCTTTCGGAGCTCAATGTCCAGACCATTCTGAGCCAGCTTGACAAACTCTTGTTCTGGCAGTGCAACTCTACATTTCAGTTTGGCTCTCCGGAATCTCGCAAGGAATGCCTCAGACGACTCTCCAGGCTTTTGGGCTAACCTCGACAAGTCTGCCATAGACACTTCCGGTTCACAACGATAAAATTGAGTATGAAACAAGTCCTCCATTTGCCTCCAAGAGTAGACTGAATTTTAAGGCAGACTGAGGTACCATGTAAGGGCTGTCCCAGTCAAAGAGCTAGGGAACCGTCTGAATTTCAAGTTATCATCTCCAGACGCCTCTCCACATTGTATTGTGAAGCGTCCAATATGTTCAATAGTGGACTGACCAACCTCACCAGAAAATAAAAGTGAACTCATGCACTTTAAAACCCCTTGGAAAAGGATTTTCATGATCAATGATGTCTGGATAAGGCTTCCTGTAGGCTGGACTCACCAATGGTCTCAAGGCTGGTCCATAGGTTTCTTATACCAGATCTATTAGCTGATCTCTATTGAATAATTGAGCTGGGTGATTCTGCAGACCGCGCTGTACCGGCTGGGCTGGAGGAACTTGTGGCTGGAAAAAATCCCTTGGGTAGGGTTGATGATGAGGACCCATATTTCCCTTCCTACCTGGTGGAACATGCCTATGCTGAGGTTGATGGCCATGGTCTGCAACAGGAGCAGTAGCCTCCATTGGTTCATGCTGTCTTTGTCCTTCACCCATGAAGAAATTCTGTTGTTGAATGTTAGGATGAGGCTGATTCCCTTTCCCCCCGAGTGCTGGGATTGGGGCTTCTTGAATCTATCTGGGCATTTCAACGACTGGAGGAGGAATCTCAGGTCTGGGCTGTCGCACTTGCTCAACCACTTGTTTTGAAACAGCCTGCAGTGTTCTGCGACTTTCTTCCCCAGTTTCTTGCATCACCCTAGTGCCTTCCTCAAAGACCCGTCTCATGTCTTCCATACATTGTCTGATTATCTCTTCCTGACGTCTGGAGGATTCTGCTTGACTCTCAACTAGCCTCTGCATAGTCTGGTTCTTTTCTTTGAATGCTAAATCCAGATGTTCCATCATACCTCTAAACACATTACTTGATTCAGCAAAGTCACCTCCACGGTCTGCTTCTTTCTCCTTAAACACTGGATTCCCATAGGACCGTTCTGCTAGAGGTGACACTGGGAGAAAAGTGATGGGATCATTTTCGCCCTCAGAGTGGAGTGGACTATCGTCTGCATGGTCAGCCTGGGCTGGCTGAACCTCTTTGTCTCTGCTCTTTCTCGGTGGCATGACTCCAAACGCTTCTGGATGTATAAACAGAGGGTCTGTAAACTTTAACTGATACACTTTGATGGTCCCACTGGGCATGCCAACAAAGGATTGTTTCCCCAAAAATCCTCAGCCGGCCTTTACCACGTGAGTTGGATGTTAGGCGTGCCACTTGCTTTGTCTAAAAACAAGAAAATAGGATTTTCTAGATGACCCTTCTCCTTTCCAGCGGTCGACCTCCAATGGGATGGCTGGAAAGAATGTCTGTGAAATCAATTGCACCCCCAGACGATGTTGCAAAACAGAGGGTAGAGCTCTGCAAAATGGGTTACTAATTGCCTTGGAAACCTCCAAGGACTTCACAACCAGACAAGTGTAATAAAAGCTACAAATCCTAAAATAAATGCAGTATCTGAAAGCAATTAAACTAATATGAAGTAATTAACAGAAAATAACATGCCATAAAGATTAAATTCATGGACAACAGAATAAGTAAAATAACAGACAATGATTTCAACTACGCAGCCCATAATGACAACTAAAATTGAAGAAGAAACTATGAAATGATTAAAGTCTGGAAACTTATAAATTTAAATCTGGAAATTAAAATGAAACAAACTGCATGTCTGGATATTATGCAGAAACAAAAGAACAAAGGTAGAAAATGTTCATCCTATTTACATAAACAAATAACATAACTAAATCTATAAAAGGAAGAAGAACTAATCGGATCAAAAGGGCAGACCTGTTTTGAAGGTTAAGTTGCTTCCAAATACTTAAAAATAAATCTAAACTGGAATTTGCGGAAGGAAATATGAACAAAGATGAACAAACCTAGGCTAAGGCTATGAACTAATCTGGAAAATCTGGGAAATCTAGAAACTATTGCTGAAATCTGGAAAATGCAGTCTAAAAGCTGAAAAACATGCTCTGGGTAGTTTGTGTGTGTGTTGGGTAGGCCGGTCACTGATCTCCACTTCTGGTTTTTCTTTGCTTCAGTGCTGTCACCTTCCCTCCATGATTTCCGGTACTGTTCCTCCACGATCTGGTAGTGGGGTTGCAAGTCTGGCAGTTACTCGACAGTTATCCAATTTTTATTTAACCTTATCTCCAACAACCTTAAGGATAACTACCTAAAAATCCTCAATTTCCCATTTTAAATCAAACCCAAACTACCATATCCCATCTTATCTTCTGCCACCTAGGATCCAACCTCCTTGGAAATCCGTCTGGGCCGTTAAATTGTAAGCCAACCCAGCCCAAATCTAGCCCATTGATTTTCTTGATAATTGGGCTTTACCTTGACACGTGGCCTTATCCTATTGGTTTATTTTAAGTGTAAACAGATAAAAAAATGGAGATGAATTCCAGTAGCAATTAGAGCATTTTAAGTGTGTTTTGTGCTTAATTCATGTAGAAAATTAGTTAATTGGCTACTGTGATTTTTGGAGAAAAATCCCGTGAATTAGCTAGTGTTTTGGCCAATTTTTGGAAGTTGGAGTTACTGTTCACGTCGTGGTTACTGTTCACGGGCACTGTTCACGCACTGATGGCTAACAATTAACGGGGATTTAAATGTTTAGTTTGTGATATAAGAACAAATTTAGAGATGTCTGGTAATGTGGAGACTGATAGAAATAGCACTGTGATTAGAGGTAGTCTTAATGATGATTCCACTTGAATTTATGGTAATGCAGTATTAATTTTGGAATATTTTGATTAGGTTCCTGATCGTTCTGTCAGTTAGCACCGAGATCGAGTATTCGGTTTTATGCAAGTGAGGTAAGTAAATTTATGGTAATGCCCATACAGTTTTTAAAAGCATGTTTTGATTTGTTTTTGAAGTGGTGGCGAGATTAAACCCGTTTATACAAGTATGATCGATTGAAGTGAAATTTTTATGCTTTTCGTTAAATTGAGCATGCCTACTTGAAATTTAATTGATTGTCTTGATGATTTGAAAGTGATTGGTGAATTATGATTTTTCTATTAACTTCAGCCTGTTTTGTCTTCGATGTGGTCATGTTATTAGTGACCCTGCTAGTGGGGGTTAAATGCTAGCACATGTCGACATGTTAGTGATAAAGCCGGTTCGTACAAGTGACCCTGCTAGTGGGGATTATACACTAGTAAATCGTGTGCCTGCCAGTGGGAGGTTTATAACACTGGACGTGACCTGTAGAGGAGACGTCTATTTCGTTCCCGTACTGTATCCGTTTTTCGTGATTGCACATGTTGGCATACTATAAGTTTAATATGGGGCACTCCATATTTTACTTACAGAGTTTATCTCATAATTTTTCCTTGTCCACCATTTCAGGAAACGAAATCGAGGACGGGGAAACCACGGGAAGTGACGAGTTAGAAGGCTAGCCATTTCGAGATTGATATAGATTCTAGAAATAAATCATTATCTTGTAAGTTAGAGTGCATTTGGAGATTTTATGATATTAGAGCAAATTATAAAATCTTATCTTCAGATTTTGATGGTATCAGATGTGAATTGGATAAGTTCCGATCCTTGTGCACTTGTGGGACTCGTCTCATGAGTGCATGGTGTCTATCGTGCCTCAAATTTGGGTTTTGGGCCGTGACAATCATCAAGTGCCACTGCTGCTTTTACTATTGCTATTAATAATGTTCCAAGTGTCAATCAACTTAGAGACATGCTTCATGATGCCATGGGAGCAAATTTTTTTAATAATAAAAATAGTGCCACAGGGCAGAAGATGAAACACAATTTGATGCTAGTTTTGATGATCCATATGTTGTTAGTACAAAATCAATATTTGAGGAGCTAAGAGGAGATGAAAAAGTGTTCTTTGATCTTTTGCAAGCAGCTGACACACCTTTTTTTGATGGGTGTGATCATGGTGTCATTGTCTTAAAGTGGGTGTGTGAGCTCATGAGTGCAAAGACACTTTTAATATGAGTGTTACTAATTGGGACTATATACTAAAGCATAGCCTAATGGCTTTCAAAAAAGTTGACTGGGAGAAATTGCCAATAGATTATTATAGTGCCAAAAAGATGTTGAGGTGTTTAGGTCTCGGGTATAAAAAGTATGATGTTTATGTGAACAATTGCTTTTTGTACTACGAAGAATTTGAATGCCAGTGTTATTTAGAGTTCTTGGTATGTTGAGAATCACGATTTAAGTAGCTTGATGTGCATTCTGCTAAGCCTATACCAAGAAAGTCTTTGTGATATCTTCTGATTATTCCTAGGCTTCAGAGATTGTACATGTCTAGGAAAACTACCGAGCATCTTTTGCAAGCCGCTAACACACCTCTTTTTGATGGGTGTGATGATATTGTCATTGTCTTAAAGTGGGTGTGTGAACTCATGAGTGCAAAGACACTTTTTAATATGAGTGTTACTAATTGGGACTATATGCTAAAGCATAGCCTAATGGCTTTCAAAAAAGTTGATTGGGAGAAATTGCCAACAAATTGCTATAGTGCCAAGAAGATGTTGAGGTGTATAAGTCTTGGGTATAAAAAGTATGATGTTTGTGTGAACAATTGCTTTTTGTACTATGAAGAATTTGAACGCCAATGTTATTTAGAGTTCTTGGTATATGGAGAACCACAATTTAAGTGGCTTGATGTGCATTCTGCTAAGCCTATACCAAGAAAGTTATTGTGGTATCTTCTGATTATTCCTAGACTTTAGAAATTGTACATGTTTAGGAAAACTACTAAGCATATGACCTGGCATTTAAATTGTTGTAATGAAAATGAAAAAATTTTTTATCTTACGTGTGGAGATGCATGGAAGCATTTTAATTACACTCAACTTGAGTTTGCTAATGAATCGAGAAATGTTAGGTTAAGTTAGGTCTATGTACCGATGGGTTCACTCCTTTTGGACAATCTGCATCTCCGTACTCCTATTGGCCAGTTATTGTATCAGTTTATAACTTGCCTCTAACAATATGCATGAAGCAGGAGTATGTATTGCTGTCATTGATTATCCAAGGTCCCCAAAGTCTTGGAAGGAATATTGATGTAATGGTTCGAGCACTAATTGATGATTTTAAGTAGCTTTGGTACTTTGGGTTCAAACTTATGATAATTTTAGGCATCAATACTTCATAATGAGGGCTGCACTTATGTGGACCATTAGTGACTTCCCTAGGTATGCAATGTTGTCTAGGTGGAGCACACATGGTAAATTAGCTTGTCCCTATTGCATGGAAAATTCAAAGGCCTTTTGGTTGGAACACAATTGGAGGACATCATTTTTTTATTGTCACTGACAGTTTTTGCCACCAAATCATCCATTTAGGAGAAATAAGAATGACTTTATGAAGGGCCGTATAGAGAATGGAACAATGCTAGAAAGATTGTCTAGTGATGAGATGCGTAGTCGCATCCATTGGTTGCCTGATATGCTATTTGGTAAGCCACCTTAGAAATAGGAAATCCATGGATTTGGTGAAGTGCGCAACTAGGTTAAAAAGAACATTCTTTGGGAATTACCATATTAGCGCACAAACTTGATTCGACACAATTTAGATGTCATGCACTGTGTGAAAAACTTTTTTGACAATATTCTTCATACAATAATGGATGACCCTGTGACAAAAGATAACATAAATGCAAAACTTGATCTAGAATTGTATTTTAAAAGGAAAAGTATGCACATACTGAAAACAGGAGTGAGTTTGGGTAAAAAACCAAAGGCCACTTATGTTCTTAGTAGGGATTAAAGAAAATCAATATGTCAATGGTTTAAGGAACTTAAATTCCCTGATGGAGTTGCCTCCAATATATCTCAGTGTGTCAATATACAAGATGCACGATTATTCAATATGAAAAGTCACGACTGTCACATTTTCACACAAAGTCTTATGACAATTGCATTTTGTGATTTATTACCAAAACAAGTTTGGGAGCCACTTGTTGAAATTGGTGAGTTCTTTAGGGCCTTGTGTGCTCTTTTGACTCAATCCAATGACATGGCAATATGGCAGGAAAAGATAGTTGAAATCATTTGCAAGCTAGAGTGAATTTTTCCACCTTCATTCTTTGACTATATGAAGCATCTTGCAATCCACCTTCCATACGAGACTCATGTACAAGGACTGGTGCAATTTTGCTAGATGTATCCATTTGAAAGGTAAATATAATTAATGTATAATGTATGAGAATAAATATAACTCCATATATGATATTTTATTACATTGAGGTTAGAATACCAATTTGGTACTTCAACTTTCAATTTGATATCAAAGCTACCCATTGAACTTAAAAGATGATTCTAAATGGTCCTTTCAAGGACCATTTTTGAACTTTTTAAACTTTGACGATATATTTGATACAAACTTAAAGGTTGAGGTACCAAATTAGAATTTTAACCATAACTTAATTATATAATAATTCTTGGTGAATCAGGAAAATACATTGTCTTAAGTTGACGGTGAAAAACAAAGTGAGTTTGGAAGCATCCATATGTAAAAGTTACATAATATTTGAGGTCACAAATTTCATCTCTTGTTACTTTGATGATGGAGTACATGGTACAATTGATCATCCCCCAAGGAATATTGTTGTTGAATTTGACGATAATAGTGGCCTATCCATCTTTAAATGTGTTGGAAAACCTATTGGTTCCAAAATTGGAAGACGTTGCCTGACAGTGGAGGAATGCAAAGCTACTTTATATTACATGTTAATGAATTGCAAAGAATTGCGGGGATGGGTCAGATTAAAAACCTAAACACTAATATCTTTAATTTGTTATATTAAGGTTAATTGAAATTAAAATACTAACAATATATGAAAAACTATTATCATATTTTCTCATCTATTTGAGAGAGAACAATGTCAAAATATGAATTTTCAACAAATTCAAGCAAAATGAGAGAGAGACCTTGTGCCGTGGTTTGAACAAGCCGTGAGTATTTAATAATATGACTATTCAATTCCTTGACATATGTTATTTCTCTTCAAATGCATCTAACATTTTCTTCTCCAATCTATATATTTTAGGTAACTAGTGGTGAGTTCATTAATGTCCATGAGCATATCAAAGGCTTATCGAGAGGTCCAAAAAATTATGTTTCCTGCTATAATGGATATATTGTCAATGGATTATGATTTCACACTACCCTCTATGGTAGAAATAAATGAACAACGAATTATGATGTCTGTGTTGTCGGATCTATTGGTACTTACTCAAATTATGATTTTTATGGTGTGCTTCAAGAAATAATTCAAATTGAGTACTATGGATCGATCTATCGACAAGTAGTTGTTTAATTCAAATGTGATTAGTACGAGATTCCTCCTACACAAGGGATTTAGGTGGATCAAAAACATCGATTAGTTGACATTAATCCCAGAAGATACCTTTGATCTTATGAGCCTTTCATTCTTGCTAGTCAAGCAAGGTAGGTTTATCACACACCATACCCATCTATTAATCAAGAAAGAAAAGAATGGATTGCTGCACTTAAAATTAAGGATAGGAGCATCATTAGGACTCTAGAGAATGAAGATGATCAACAAGAAGAATTGGCACCATATTTCCAAGACGATGAGCCTCCTGTTTCTCAACCAATAAATATTTATGACATTACTTATGAACTAGTGCAATATTCTAATGGGAGGTTTATTGAAATACATAAAGAAGCTGATGTTGGGGAGGAGATTGGGGAAGAGGATGAAGACGGGGAATGGGAAGATTTTGATACATCAAAAGAAGAAAACATGGAAACATATGTTGAGAAGAATGATAGTAGTGATGAGTAGGCAATAATATTTATAGAAACTTATTGTTATATTTAGGGTTAATATTTGCTTGTTTGTACTTTTATAATTATATTAGTTGTATTGCATGTTATTTAATTTAAAATTGTATAATATTATTGTTACTTTTAAGTTTATATTCGCTTGTTTATATTGCTATAATTGTATTAGTTGGAACAAAATTTATACGTTTATGTTCTGTTATTGTTAATTTTATATTTTTTTTGTTAATATTTATGTAGTTATTTTTATTTATATTAGTTATACCATGTGTTATTCAACTAAAATGTAATTTGGTTTTTTTTTTTACTTATTTATAGAAATTAAAAGTATTTTCATTTTTATTGTGATTTTAATAGTAATTTATTGCATTTAAATTAGTTTATTAATGATTTTTTGTACTTGTTATATTTTTTTACAATGGATTGCTATAGTTCTCGTTGCACAAAGATTGTAAATTCCACCCAACTGTTACAATGACCAAACCCATTTGACCCCTAAAGGCGGGTTTAGAAGGAGGATCGTGTCGATGTGCTTAAGATGCTGATATACAAGCCAAGTCTCCTAGTGATGAGGAGATAAATGTTGCAGCCCCCAAGCATAGATCTGGTCGAGGGCAAGCTAAGCCCCTACAAATGCCTATAGATGGGACCAAGATCCCATTATAGCTAAATGAGTATGGTGATTTGCCACAAATGATCAAACGATAAATTATGATCCAATTGCGAGAGAATCTCCCAGATGCTTACACATTATGGGGACAGGTCCTTGCTAAGCATCGGGATATGTATTGGAATTTATTCTGTGTACGCCCTTAACACTTAATTTCTATATACAAATTTAGATATTTTCAATTTCTATCTTCAAATTTTCTCAAGTTGATATTTGGAAAGTTTTCTATTTGCTTCCAAACCATTTATGCCAAATGGTTTACTTCCATTAGAAAATGACAATGACATTCTCAAGATGGCCCAAGTTCTTTAGAAGCATAGAGTGGTTCATGTGTTCATGGAATATGTTAAGAAATGTGACATTGTTGATGATTATGATGAAGACCAATATGATTTTGAATCTTATGAGAAATTGGTGCAATTTTTTTATGTTGGTTTTGATAGTGACAATGATGAACTTGAAGTTTTGGGTTCTAGAAACCAAATACAAAAAGAATTAGAGGTACCTGTTGAGATTGTAGACAATGACACAACCAATAAAGATATTTGTACTGCAACTAAAAGTGTTAACAAACAGAAGGGTCTAGGAAGAAAGGATAGGAAAAGAAATAACACTAAGAGGAAGAAATTACCTAATCTTGTTGGGAATGATTTATTCTTCATCAACTCAAGAACAGATGTTGGAAGTGGAGAATCAAAGTACTTTGACAGTGATGATCCAGGAGTTTATGGCTCAAATGACTTAGAAGATGAGTTATTTGTGAAAGATGATGCAATTAGACAAAGAACATTCAACTGAGTCTTCAATCCAAACCATGACATTCCTATAATTGAAATCGACATAAAATTTGAAAATCGTGAGCAATTTAAAGATGCAATAAGTACCTATGTCATAAAGAGGGTGTGTTATTGAATGGCTAAAAAAGGATGCCGAATGCCCAAAGGCTTTAATGTACTGGAGCATTTTGTATGTGGTTTATTTGTGTTACTTTGTATAATAAAGATTTGACATGGAGAATTATGTCATATGTGACAAAACACAACTGTTGCAAAAAAGAAGGTAAATCCAATTGCCAATTCCCTATGTCTTGCTAAGTATTTGAAACATATGATTGATTCCAATCCAATGGTTAAGTTGAGAGAGTTGAAGATATCTTGCTCCAAAGAGCTGGGGCTTAATGTCTACACTAACATGATGGTTGAGCAAAAGCAATTGTGTTAAAGGAGTTTGAAGGGAATTACTTTGAGGAGTATGCTACTTTGTTAGGATACAACGATGTTCTTGCTGGAAAAAAATCTAAAAAACATCATTTCATGTTAACTACAATAGGTACATTAATGAACCAAATCCTATAATCAAAAGCATATATGTTTGCTTGGCTGCATGCAAGAAAGGATGGATGGAAGGTTGCATACCTATCATTGGGATTTATATGTGTTTTTTGAAAGGCAAGTGCAAAGGGATGCTTTTACAACAATTGGCAGAGATGGGAATAACCAAATGTTTCCCATTACTTAGGCAGTTGTTGATAGTGAATCCAATGAGACATGTGGTTGGTTTCTCTACCACTTGAAGAAGGATTTGAAGTTGCAAAATGGTAGCAACTTGACAATTGTTTTAGACCAACACAAAGTATGCTTATAATCTTGAACATACTCTATCTAAAAACTAAAAAGGTAAAAGAATATTACATTTTAGTTAAAGATCATGCAACGAATTTTTGGTTATTTGAGAAATTGGACATATTCTGCCCATATTTTCATTTTCTACACTTTTGTCACGCCCCAGAACCCAAATCCGAGGCGCGACAGATGCCGTGCACTCGTGAGAGGGTCCCACGAATGCACAAGGCTCGGAACTTATTCAAATCACATCTGACCATCCAATAACTCAAATCAATTATCTCAAAATCTCTAGATCAAATCT